ATTGATAATTTCGGGACGTTTGGTAAGTGAGCTGATATTATTGTTCAATGTACCAATTATAAACATAGAACGAATCCCTATGTTTGTAGCCGCAAACCGACTTCACACCCGTGGATGAGAATAAGGTTGTTATCAACGTACCAGACATTGATCATGTGAACTATATTGTGGTATTCTTGACTGGTGTAACAGCGCTTCCCGAAGGTACAGCAGCCGCGGTATACTTTAGCTGGCCTGATGCAAATTCAGCTCCAACATGGCAATATTTGGGCTACGTCTCCAACGCCAAACCGTCAGCGATCTTTAAAATATCTCAGTTAAAAAAAAGTAATGAACTGGAAGCAGCGGAAAACGGCATGATTTTCGGAGCACAAGAGATTTCGTGTACTGCACAAATTGGTATATCAGTGGAACCGGAGCTAACAATTTCTCACCTAACGCCGGCAGTGGTAAGTGGAATTGATTAAAACATCCAGTAAATATGCTTAAAATAAAAAGAGGAAGCAGTCATAACATAATTATGCAGTATCAAATCTACTTTCATAATAAAACTGAAAATACATACATATTTAGAGTTACGGCTGCCAATCTTAAACAAAGCATACATAATGAGCCTAATCATGAGTTTCATTTTCCACGAACCGGTTCATTTTTTGTCGCCATGTATTTACTATGGGCAGATGAAAAATTTTCCAGTTTTTCGGGCGAAACTCGGGATAAGGCAGAATACATATGTACATTAGAGTGGTCCAAAAAAAAATTTTCCGAGATAGGGTTCGGGGCACCTCCCAAAGTTTTTACTCTTGCCGAGAGAGTTGCTGTCACCTAACTTTACATTTCTAGGTATAAACTTGGAGGATGCTCATGAAAAGTTTATCCGGCAGGTTCTGCAATTCACTTCCGAGTGAATTTGAGTAAAGTTCGTTTTGAATTCAAATGGGCAGGGGTTGAAATTCACTCGGAAGTGAATTCCGGAACCTGCCCGAATATTTTACACAAGAAGTATATTGTACATATATTAACCAAACAATTGGTTAAACAACCGAAGAGTACTTCAAACCTAAATTAGCTGGAAAAATATTTCCAGCTGCAGGTGTCAGGCAATGGTAGCTTTTTATACAAATCAGTATTTTTGAAAGTTTCAAAACGTGTACAGAGAAAATTGGAAAAAACCAAGCGAGTGTCCGGTTTTCTACGTTGAATTTTTTTCCCAAAAATTTTAACCACTCTAATGTACATATGTATGTACATGCAGTTGTGTTCATAAATCTGAGTACGAATATTAGAGGAAAATAATAATAAGAAGGCGTTATCTACTCACGGGAGGCTTATTCGTAGAAAATTCGCGATAAGGTGTCAAAGGAGTAATAAGCAACAACAAATCATACAAAGAATTCAGGTTTCCAGCAAGAAATGAGCCTAAATCCTCAATAGACGTTCTCAGATTCCAAATGACCCCACAGCACGTTAGGGTATTCGTTAACTTGCATTTTTCGTCATACGACGATTTCCCTGCATTTTCTTCAGGCTTGAAGCTTATACAGTGTTTAAATTAAACATCGAATAACATGGACAATGAACTTTAAACGGCGAAATACGGGTGGATAAGAAGACTACGTCAAAAACTTACTTATCTCTAGTCCGGTCAAGGCTTAAAAAATACGTACATACATTGTAGAAGATTACCAATTAGATACTAATAGTATGGTATGAAGAATAACTGACTAAAAAATAAATATCTTTTGGTTATCAAGCAAACTTTTAAAATGACTTAAAGTCCAAAAAGTGCTTTTAGACATGCCAGGTTTCGAACTCACCGATTCAATTATTTTAACTCGGAAGTCCATTCCATACATTAGGTCCATTTTGTACTCCACCATATTGGTAACTTAATTCAATGAGCACAAGTGGATATTCTTTTTTACCGAACTTATAGGAATAGCTAAAGTATTTCAAGTTTTACAAACTGTACAGCTTTAGCATATCGCCAAAACAGTAAAGCAGATGTTTCTGGTATAAAATGCATAGATAACTATGTACTTTTGAGCTCCACCTTTTTTCGATTTCTGATATTTGGAATAATTTAAGTTTGTTTAAAAATCAAAAAAGGCCGACTAAGAAATAGCTCGATCTTATGGGCAACTGTATAACCAAAGCATTTAAGCACCGACTGTCAAGTTTTTTTTTTAAATGCTTGTTTTCTTTTCTGGTTTGTGACCTTTGTGTTATATTTACATTACTTTATTAACCTAATTTAAATGTGATCCTTTCACACTTGGGTTTGCAGATTGATTACCACGATCCAAGAACACCATAAGGTTTTTGAACGCTGCTGTATGTTATACTAGATCACTAAAACTAATCCACTAACAATGAAACATTTATTTACTATTTTTTACAGCAAAACGCCAATGCAAATCTGCACTTTAGTCAAAAAATGTTAGAAAGTTTTTTCAATTATGCGTCCAGTTTTACGGTGACTCCACAACAACTTCCGCCACTGAGTAGCGAAACTCTGGTGCCCCTGTCCACGTTACAAAATTGGTACACAAACTTTCAACGAAGAATGGCTCAAAATCCGAATTTCTGGAAATACTGATTTGACGGCACGGAACTCGCGCTCGCACACAGAGGTGGAAGAACAATTCATACACACAAGAGTTTGTTCCTCAAATTGAGCATTTATCTGATTAAGTGGCGCGCTAAGTTGCAGGATACAAAACCTGCGTAAGAGCTGTTCTATTTAAATTTTTATGAGTTTGCAGAATTTTACTAATAAATCGCAAATTCATTAATTGTCCGCTGTAACAAATATGTATGTATGTGCATGCAATTGTATTTGAATATACTCTAATTCACAAATATGTAGGTATCTGTAGTTGTGAGCAATAGTCGCCCAAGTCGGAACTCCTAGCTTCGAGGAACACTCAATTATATACAGTCATATCACATACATATATATGTACATATCTACATGTTATGTACAGTGACGCACAAAAGTATTGGCACAGTGAATTTTTCGCAATATATGCAAACTTTTTATTGGAATTTATTTTCCATAATTTTTTATGAAAATATAGTTCATACTACGCCAAAAGACATAAAAATAAAATATCTAATCTTTGTGCAGAACTCAGCAAAATTCTATATATGCACAGTTTTTTATTGTAATTTATTTTCCATAATTTTTTATGAAAATATAGTTCATTCTACGCCAAAAAAAACACAAAAATTAAGTCTCTAATCTTTGTGCAAAACTCAGGAAAATTCAATAAATGCAAAGTTTTTTATTCTAATTTATTTTCGATAATTTTTTATAAAAATATAGTTCATACTACGCCAAAAAACCCCAAAAATAAAATCTCTAAACTTTGCGCAAAACTCAAGAAAAATTCAATAAATTTGCATAGTAATTTACAACTTTCTATTCAGATTTTCTAGTAAAATTCTAAGTATGCAGTTTTATAGCCAAGTTTGAAGCTGCTGAAAAATCGCGTTGATTTTTATAAAACTGCGTACTTAGAATTTTTCGAAAAAATCTGAATAGGAAATTCCAGATGTATTGAATGCTCCTAAGTTTAGCAAGAGTCTAGATATTTTATTTTTATGTTTTTTGTTGTATAATGAACTATATTTTTATTAAAAAATTATTGAAAATAAATTGTAATAAACAACTTCGCACATAATGTGAAAAATTAACTATGCCAATACTTTTGTTCATCACTGTGTTTAAACACAGAGAAAATAATTTTTTTTTTGGCAGTTTTGCTTATTATTGATCTAAAACGGTGAGTTGCTTTTGGTTGTGGCTGTATTTGAGGATCTCGCTGCTAAATATTAAGAAAGATTGGTAAAAGTTTATGCAGATTCAAAGATTCGTAGTCCCTCAAGGCTATTTTAGACAAAAAGTAGTATCAAAAAGTTTGATTCGACATGCATACATATAGTTGGCAACATAACTTTACGACAATATTTTTTCATTTATTTTAAAATTTTTTAATTTTAATTATTGTTTTTTATAGGTATAGCATATTTTTAACAGAAACCATATAAATTCAAGTTTCAATCTTTGTGCGAAATTTCAAGAAGAGAAACGACTGACCTGCTTTATTGAACTCTGCAAAAATCGTTGGTAATTTAAAACGAAAATAAATGCTTAGTGCAAAACTTAAAATTATCAACGGAAGTGGTTATGTCGGCATAGGCGTTTATGAGGCCATTTTAAGGAATTAATGAATACGAAAACAATAGTGGGATTCATGAAACGTCGTAAAGTTGTTGCAAATGTCACAAAATGTTTCACCTCGAGACACAGCTGATTACTTTTGTATGGAAACTTTTTTGATTGAGGTGGCAATCATTGCAAAGTCAAAGTCGCGAAACACATGTTTTTTTGTTGTCTTCGACTAAATCAAGAACAAGTATATGAGTTGAGGTTGCTTCGGAGTAGAATTGTAAAAACTTTTCTTTTTCACTCCACGCGGCATTTTTTTTTTTTAATTTTACATTTGCAACCCGGAGTTGCGATAGATCGTTCATACAACTTTGTTTGACATTGGCATGAAATAAGTAAACGACGAAAATCGTCGAAAACTATGCAGAACTGCCCAGTTTTTCCATTTTAGTATACTAGTCGAGTCGAAATTTTAGCAAATGACATGGAATTTTTGATACAATTCGACTCTCGAAAAACTACTTGCATACGACATGACTCTCGCAATGAGGCTGATTTTTTCATTTCAAAATAAAAAAGGGTATATATTTCGATATAGAACAATCCTAGGGAGTGAGAGCATTAAAATTCCGACTTAACTTATTTTTGACCACCCTAATGTACATACATATGTAGGTGCATTCAAGGAAAAAATTTCAATATGACACTTAAAATGCCAAAAAGGATCTAAAGACGCAAGAATTTCAAAAAAAAAGGGAGATTTGAAAAGTTTCTAACAAAAAATGGAAATTGAGACTTTAGCTGCGATTCGGTAACACTGTATCCGATGCCATTTGTACCGCTAACAGAGAGCATGAAAGAGTCTGCATAAGAGTATCTATCATACGCGTTTTTAGAGAGAATGTAGTTGAAAAAAAAAAACGAGAAATTCGGGATGCTGGGGTATTCAGTACATATATCTTATCCTTATTAAAACGTGTGCAACAACTCAAGGTACTGTGTGCGGAAAACAGTCGCTGCGTTCCCTTACACATATTTTAACGTTTTGCTCGCAACACGTTTGCTGGACATAAATTGGACTGGACAGAATTCGATGAAGTTAATAGAAAATTCCCATTCAAAGGGGTGGATAAATATCTGCATAAGATTCAATTCAAGAAAGTGAAAGTCGGGTCAGTGAAACGTCTTAAACATCATAATTCTTCGATCGCCTAAATGTATGCATTACACCTTTTAAGTTGTCGTGTAACATACAAACACATCCATGCATACAATGTGTACTAAATACGTGCAGATATATTAAACAAAATCATTTTTTTTTTGGTTTCATATCAAATGAAAGTTTAGTGAACAGTGGTTTTAGAAAATTGAAGTGAAATGCCAATAGTGGGGCCATGTATGAAGACCACTACATAGGAGCTGCCGTCAATTTCAGCAGTGTACAATGCATACACGTATGCATGCATAGCTAT